CGTCATAAAACAGTCATAGTAGCGAAACTAATTGGAATATTGCTAAACTAAATATAGTGGCCTAAACAACAACATTTTTCCTATCTATATAGTATAAAGGAAGTCGAAAAATACGACATTTACTAGCTTTGAAAAATTCCTGAAAAAAAGGTGAAAAATGCTATTTTGAAAAGTTACTTCTACTAAGGTCTGTAGCATAAAAAATATTTGCCATATTAAAAAATTTTACTTACATAAAAGTTGCACCCAGGTGTCGGCTTGAAAACGTAATTGACAGATTTTGCCTATCTCATTACAAAAAAAAAATGGCGGCCATTTCTGCACGGCGGGGCTACTCGGGACACCCCCCCGGGGCTATTCGGGACACCCCAGAAAGCACATTTACAGTAGAACCTCAGTTAGCAAAGGCTCCAGTTAAGAAAAAAAATTGATTAAAAACAAAGAATATTGATTGCATTTACCTCGCTGAGCAAAAAAAAAAGTTCACTTATCGTCTCACAAATTACAAGCCGTCCTGTAAGCTTACAGATACAGAAAAAATGCTATGATGCTGCTGATATGAAGCTTGCAGTGGACAAGGTTGTTGTAAATGCTCAATGGCATGTTCATGGATACCAGAATATCACATCAATAATACAGTAATATCCCATCAATAATTCGTCAACTGGGTGATTGGGCCCTGTTCATAATGATGGCCAAAGTGGGGGTAATAAACGGTCATAAACAGTGGCCAAAGTCACTCAGGCGTTTATGACCTGGTTTACAACCCTGGCGTTTATGACCCCGGCATTTATGACCCCAACGTTTACAACCCCGCGTTTACGACCCCAGCATGAATCAAAAACACAGGGGAAGTCACCCCAGTTGAAGGTAATTAATGTTTATGGTAATATCATATCAATGAAGGAAAAACTAGTAAACGTCACAGAAAATGTCATTTATTCTACCTCTACATTGTCTACAATGAAAGAGGAGGACTTCAGAGTACTGTTAGTAATGGATGAGTACCCTCTGCATGCTTCAAATATTTTAAAATGAAGTTTTATTCCCAGTGTCCGGAGTAGCCCCGTTTGACAGGGCTACTCGGGACACTCTTTTTTTGCTTCTGGCACCTTACGAATAGCATATGGATTTTTTTTGAAGATGCCATTCCATAGCCCTCGCAAAGAGCTATAAAATGAGCCTAAACTTGTTTATGAAATGTTTCATCGTAAGAAGTTATTAACAAAAAACGCTCAAAACCGTCCCGAGTAGCCCCGGTTGACGGTAAGCAATACACCAAAGTGCCTGGAATGAAGAGTAAGAACCTAATAATCTAAGATTAAGCAAAAGGAGCAGTATATATGCTCCTCTTCAACGTGTTACCCCTAATAACTAATTTTACCCTAAAAATAGCCAATACTGACATTTATCTTCACTTAAGTGGTGACTGATCACATGAAAATGCAGTCTGACCGCTCTGATGTAACAGCAACTACGCGAGATTTAAGGAAATGTTTTAGATTGACTGGTTGTTATTATGTTGTGCAGGATATTTTAGCAGGATTGTTGAAGTATTGTGCATTGGAGAAGTTGAAAATTTTATCAAACAACATTTTTGCTGAGTGCAAATTGCAATTTTTTCAATCAAACAAAAATACATGACATTAGAGCCATGAGATTTTGTGTCTACTAAAAGTATATGATATTAGAGCCACGATATTCCAGCAAAAAATATAACTTTTCCAGCCCTGCATCATTGGTGGCATGATTTGTTATTTATAAATGTTAATTTGTTGTGTTTGACTTGAGACAAATTGCTAATGAATTATTGTTTAGTCTAATTGAAATCTTAAAAGTGTTTTAACCTTCATTCTTTCAAGTACATTTATTCCCTCCTATTTTTATCCTTTCTATCTTAGCCAAAATTTTTGGACAAAAAAAGTGGTGGAGGTGGATCAAAAATGGTACCGGTATATGAACCATAATTTTTAGAATTTCATCCTGCCTGCCAGGCTGCCAACCCCTTGGTTGGGATTATTGAGCCTATGCCTGATGAACGTCCTATGACCAAATTTAGTGCAAATGATTTAGCTCTTAGCAAAGCTCTAGCCACATCATATTTTGAAACCATAGGGGTCAATGGAATTCAGAAAAATGTCACTAAAGATATCTTGATACGGTAGTAACAATGGACAGCCAAGATTCTAAATGTCTTGCTAAACTCCTCTCTACCAGTCAAATTGGATCTTAGAAGGTCATATGCTGACTCTCCACTTAATCACACTGTGTCAGCAGGAGTGATAGGACTTTTTGGTGATGAGACCCCAGAGGAAGAGCTCACCTAAGAGTTACACCTTGCTGGATACCTTCCTGGTTACATCTTGCTGAATACCTGGTGTAAAGCCTTGCTTTACACCACAGCAGTTAGAATTTACAAAGGCAAAGATGAAGTAGAGACAGCTATGCTTAACTTTAAGGTACTTCTTGTGTCACAGCACCTACCCTCCCACCTGTAACTTGGTTACCAACACTAAGGTGAAAGCATTTGTGAGTAAGCCTTGGCAGTGTTATAAATGTCAGGGATCCAACCATAATGCCAGCAACTGCAGAAGCCCCACTTGATGTGTAGGTTGTGGGGGATCTCACAATGTTAAAGACTGCCCTTCTTCTAGGAGTTTAGACCCAAAATGCTGCAACTGTGGTGGCACACATACTGCTAACTATCAGGGTTGCTCTTGAACGAAATTCAAAGTATTAGTTTAGAAAGCTTGCTCTGTCAAGAAGATGTCATATTGAGATGCTGTGAAACGTGTAAAAGAGACTTCAAATATCAGCATGACCTGTAACACAGCTAAAAAAACATCACTGAGTTCATCACCCAACCATTCTGCAACCTTCTATCCAGTAACTCAGGTCAATTGAACAATGAGTTGCAAGCTACAAACTAATTTGGAAAAATCTCAGTATCCATACAAACTGATGGAAACATCCTACAGACTCACTCTCATGAAAATTCAGTCTATAAAAAGATTGAACTCCTCCTAAAAATTTTAAACCTAAACCAAAATACTGACAACCCTAATATCTCTGATCAAATCAACCCGATTGTTGAAGAAACTGTTGCTGTTCCAGCCCAGACAATACAATATCATCAATATTAAACAAAACCTGAAACAGTCAATGTACATGCCAATCTCTGCCATAACACTTTGCTTTCTAATTTTAAAAACCAAACTTCAACAGCAATAGAAGTTTACATGCAATCTGCTGTCATTGATCCTGACCAACTACTCAACAGGACACTTGTCAAACCATCATAGTGTTGCTGGTGCTGTGGAATGCTTATGTGGGATTTTTTAGTCTCTGGCAACAATTTAGGTGAATGAAAGAATTCTTCTGGATATGAATGTATTGTTAAAGTACAGGGTAGTGATTACAGATGTAGCTGTGAATTAAATGAAATGGAACCAGACATTGGGAGCATGAGAGAGGTATTTGAGCTGCAAAAGATAGAACATGTAATCAATAAAAGTAAAATCTAATAAAAGAACCTCACTCGCAGCAGTTAATCAAAACCAAAAACCCTTAGCATTGACAAAACGATCAAGCTGCAAGCACTAAGTTTAACTTAGTTTGAATATAATTGATGGTATGAGCACACAAGAGTAATGAGAGAGAGAACACAAATGAGATTAAAGTGAACCAAGGTAAACGGGCACAATTGCAACTGTGGTAATAACAGCAACTTATTGGGAGAAACACATACGTAAATTGAAAACAGTTTGGTATTTGTGTAATAAAATACCAAGCATTGAAATTAGAGGATTGAAATAGTAAAGCAATTGAAGTAAAATCATATAAACAACTCGCTATTGTGCAATTAACTTTCTTTAGATTAAAAGCAAGCATTACAAGAAAGTGGATAAATGTATGTGCAAACTGCAAAGTATAAACATAAGCAAGAATGAAGTGAATCAATTATTAAGCTGAATGAACACTAACAAACCTGATTTTGAAAGCTTTATACAATATGGGTCCTAACAAGCACTCACCGAGGCAATTGTAGTCATCAGAGCATTGGACATCAATCTGCCTGCTTCTTTTAGTTACAATGTCACTGATCAAGCACATGCATGAAAAATATAATTATTGGAATTTTTCCCCATGCCTGAAAAATAAAGAGAAATGTTTGGTATTGAATTAGAACATACAGGGTCATCAATATTTAGTGTTACATTGTTTTTTCAAAATAAATACATTTGCTGTCAAATGTGTCATATGGAACCATGTCGGCTGTTCTCCGGATGGACCTGAAATTGTCTCCATTCAAGCATGTCAAAAAACACCAACTGTCTGCTCAAGTTGTTGACAAATGCCTCCAAAGATCCAAGATTCTTCTTTCCCACATTCATGATGGCACGCTGCCAAACCTCGTTTCCAGTGATGAGAAGATGTTCAATGTTGAATTCCACTTCAACTCCCAGCATGGTTTAATTTGGTCGAAGAATGGGACAAAGGATCCCGTGTGGTGACTAGGAAGCAATGCCCGACCTCAGTGATGGTCTGGGCAGCCTAACAGAGTCCTCAAGGAGTCCCCTCTTTTTTGTTGACAAAGGGGTGAAATTGAATCCGAAGAACTATCACTTTTTTCAGGGATTTTTAGAGGTAATAATTGTATGATTTTCAACTTGCTTTATGCTGCATATATAGTAAAAATGTTGAAATTTACACCACTAATTTTAGTTTTGCAATATTTTAATTAGTTTAGCTGCTACAACATTTCTACAAAATGTTGGAGGACTGTCCCTTTTTACCCCCCCCCATCCCTTTTTATCCCATTGGACGGCAGGTGGTACTAGGTAGGGCATCTTGTAGATACTAACTGGGATACATTAGTTTATTTGTATGTTATCTGTACTGCTTTCACTAAAGTAGAGTAGCACTTATCATTATTATCACACACAATAATAATCATTATTATTATTACTATGTAACTTTGAAATATACTAACCACTGTGGCCTGTATTGCTGTTGCCCTCAGCAAAATATTCTCTGATTGATGATACTGAAATATGCAACCCTACTTTAAAATATTTGGTTATCTATTGTTGCAATGCTTGCCTTGCTCTGTGCTGTTGATCCTTTTCATGTGCCCACAGTTGCTGTGGCTATGGCTTCAACTTATTCCCCTACAGTTGTGGAGCCAAATGGGCAAGTCTCCAAAGCTCCAATAATCACCTAACAACACTTTGTTGTTACATGACAAATTTAATCATACTTAGACCAGCATTAGTAGCACATTGAGAGTTTTAATCTTTAGGTCTAATCCTAATCCAGTTCCTAATCATCCAGTTGAATCTTGCCAAGGTGCAAGCCAGAGTGCCTGACTGTCAGTTTGCAGTTGCCATTGTATTGGCATAAAGTTGAACCAATCTTCAATCATGAGTTTTGCCAATGGTGTTCATTCTGTAGAAAAAATTTACCATGAAAAACAAGTAAAGAAACTTTGTGCTCTTCACAGTTTGAATAATCTCTTTCAAGATGCATCTGCATTCTCCAAGGTATGTGTCCAGTGTAAACTGGAAAATCAGGCTAAAGCTACTTCCGAATGAAACAACAATCCTCATGAGTCATACCCATGGTTACTTTTACCCATTCCTTTTGGCACTTGACTAATTTTTAAGTAAAATAAAGAAATGGCGCATTTTCCCTTGTATTTTAAAAAATCATGCACAAAACTATCTTTTTTACCCCCAATTTTCAGAAAATATTTCCCAATATTAGATTCCCATTCTGGAAAATTGGACAGAAGCCCCATTTTGAAACAACAAAGACGTCTATGCTTGCTGCAAGTTTGCATGTCTTAAGATTTTTGATTAAGCCAAAATACATGGCTTTAAAGCTACAAGATTTTATATTCTCTTGAAACAAATGACTGTTTGGCCACAAGGTTTTTGAAAAAAATATATAATTTCAATTTTGCTGTCAGTGAAATCTAAGTTACCACTTAGCGGATACTTACGTATATAATACTGTATATATATATTAAGGTGCCGACCAAATTAATGGCATAAAATAAGATTAAACTTTTCTGTACTCTCACCCCTTAAAAATGTTCATTTTAACCCAAAAAACAAAGCAAAAAAAAAAAAAAAAATGTGTACGAGATATTTCAATATTTACTGGTTGCACTAGAACTTTATTTATCAGTTTTTAATACCAGTATCCATTTGATATTTTTTATGACAGTATTTGATTTTTATCTTGAATGATGCAAGAGTGTGAATTATTAATTATTTACAGGAAATTAACAGTTGAATCAGATATTATTAGCTGGCAATGCTTTGTTAAAGTTTATTTCCTCCTAGACTATTTGTTTGACCAGAAATTATAATATATCGTTACATCATGCAGTACAGATCTCAACAAGAGTGCAGGTGAGGTTACAATGCTTTGCTCCTATCTTGCTCATGATTTGTATTACAGGATCAAATGAAACAATAGCATATTCCTCTTTTCATGTAAGAGTACTAGGTATATATATATTGGTGAATGCCATTATATAAGAGGAGTACAGTATATTGTAGAATACAATTATATTATCAACTGACTTTGAAAAAAATAAGTGACCATAGATAACTGTTATCATAATTAATTTAAGCTTCATTTGTAAAAACTCAAAATTTATTGTGCAACCAGTAAATGGAATTGGATTGTTACAATTTTTGGTTTATGCACCCTGCCTATGTAGTTGAACAAAGCTGGACCATGTGACCAGCAAAAATCAGAAATTTTTTGGTTGGCACCTGGTACCGTATTATTGATGTGCAATTATCATATTATTGATGCGATATTACCGTATCCATGAACATGCCATTGAGCATTTACAACAACTTTGTCCACTGCAAGCTTCATATCGGCAGCCTTATAACATTTTTTTTCGTATCTGTAAGCTTACAGGATGGCTCGTAATTTCACATCATTTTAATTGGGTTAAGTGAATTTACTATGGTAAAAAAGATCGTGAAAAACATACCTGAAACAGAAAGGAATGTTTCAGTGACAACCAACGTATCTTTTGGAAAAATAAATCATAGTTTAGGTCAATTACTTTTCATTCTATGATGCCTGGAGCACAATTCTATACATGACATGCTATGCACAATTTTGTGATAACCGATGATGCACTTATTTTTCAATAAGTGAAATTTTTTTCGCTGAGCAAGGAAAATGTGATCAATATTCTTTGTTTTTAATTAATTTTTTTCGTAATTGGAGCCTTTGCTAACTGAGGTTCTACCGTAAATGCGTTTTTGGGGGTGTCCCGAATAGAACTTCCTTTATACTACATAGATAGGAAAAATGTTGACGTTTACGCCACTATTTTTAGTTTTGCAATATTCCAATTAGTTTCGCTACTACAACAGTTTTACGCCGTGTCGGAGGCCAGTCCCGAGTAGCCCCGGTTGACGGTAGTCACTATAAACATTATATATATTCACAATTAATAGTTAAATACAGTAACAAGACATGCTGTTTAAATTGTTTATCTATGATGAAAATAAAGTTTGTAAATGATGGAAAAATTTCATTAATACAAATCTTTTCTTGCCAGATTTTGATACAATTCAATACATATACCTATTTCTAAATTGATGAATTTTATGTTTAAAGTCTTCAATACTATCTAATTTTTTCCTCGTGCTAGCAAATAATCAGTGAACCCAATTTTTAATTATCTTAATGGAAAGTAATTCAGTGATCTCAATCATAAAATTAGTCATTGGATGTGCTATGCTGCAAAAATTCGATTTAACTTGTGTTTTTTCTCTGCTTCTTGTAACTATTTTACTTTAATTTCAGGACGAGTTGGACAAGATATGTGAAAAATTGTCTCCAGACCATTGGATTAATCCCCATAAATCTGTACTTGGGACTGGCAATTATGATATTAATGTCATTATTGCAGCACTGGAAGCCAAAGGATGTGCCATAGTTTGGTTTGACAAAAGAAAGTAAGTACCTATGCTATGCATGATCTTTATATTTTGGCCAACAAACAAAAATTTAGGACATTGATGTTGACTTTTGGTTTTCAGGAAATCAGATACCAAATAGTTTTAGTCTATGATATCTTGCTTTTTTCTGTCTTTGATTCAAATAAGGCCCATATTTTGTGAGAGAATAGTGGTTCTTCTAATACGGAATTTTTTCTGTATGTATCATCCGTATCAGATAGAGGTGCTATTAATGTCAACTTGGGTGAAATATGTTCCTGAATTTCCTCAAAAATTACAAGTCCTTTTTGAATAAAACGTCCCTATTAATATTAAGTTTATTGAAATTGACATGAAAATAGCCTCTAGTCTTCCAGGTTACATGGTTTCTCTCCTGAAACATTATTTTCTCTAATTTTTTTAATTTACCAATTAGACACTTCGAAAAAACATCTTGTATAGATAAGAGGATATTAAGCATGCTCAGTTTTTACTGACATTTTCAATTGGCAAACATGGAAAAAATGTACCGTGTCTTGGAATTAATTCTAATTTTTGCACATTTATACACGTTATATGGTCATAAAAACATTTGGTTTACAATGTTTTAAACCATATTGCAAATTGCTCAAATTATAATTGCTATATGTTCAAACATTTATGCAACCATGTAATATACATGCCTGTCAGTTTTATTGATACCTACCGATATAACAGTTTTATGGATAACAACACTAAATTGTGTTCTAAATGCTAGTTAATTTTTAGGATAATGTCTGGAGGGATGTTTGAGTAGAAATCTGCATGGTTTGAAGTATTTTTGTTAACGTTTTATTTTGATTCTCCAGTAATTATGGTTCTTGTTCTTCAGGGATCCTGGGATCATTGTGCTTGAGCTTGTAATGGGCTTCATTTTGAACATCCCATCGGAGTACCGAGTTGGTCCAGTTCAGTTACCCCTGCGACGCAAGCACTGGGTGGCAGTGAAGAAAGTCAACAACCTTTTTTATAACCTTGACTCCAAGCTAGATGCTCCTGTTTGTATTGGACAGGTTTGTCAGCCCCTTTCCATGGTTCTTATTGATTAAAAAAAAAAAAATAATAATCCAACCAGTGTTTTGAATGATGTGGTCTACCATTTGTTCTGAACTAGTAAAATATTTTTTTAATTATACAGGCAATGTCAAAAATAGCATTTATATGTCATAAATGGAGCAAAATTTATGCGACGAATGAACTGTCCTGAAAATTGCTACATTAGCATTGTATATATAATTCAAGAGCTTGGGAAACCCAAAGCTTGAAAAAAGCTCATGAGTTTCTTGGTTTTACTTATGAAGGAATTTAAAATTTATCATCGTTAAGAAGTGTTGCAGTTCGTGAAGTGTCTAGAACACTAAAGTTGCTTTCATTTGAATTTATTCATAAATAGTTGACACTATTATATTGTAGGTGTATCCTTATTTTCAGGCAAACGATCTTTTGGACTGGCTGCGTGTACAGCTGTCAAGCCCAGAAAAGGAACTTTTTATTGTAGCACCTCAGGACGTCGAGAAAAACAAGAGCTGGTGCTTGGAAGTTGGAGCTGCTGCACAGCATATAGAATTGCCATCTACGCCTCTAGAGGAAGAAACCAAAAGCAATGAGCGGGTCGATGCTCGTCTAGTTCATCTCAACAACGTCGAATGTACTCAGGATGTTAATCTACAGAAACGTGTGCTGGCACCGCTGGAAGGAGAGGAGGCTTTTTCTTCACCTGGACTCAAATTTATCGACCAAGATGCAGCTAGCGTAGATAGTGGTAACTTGCGTCGCGCATCCTCCACTAAATACGTCAGCACGTCATCCAGCATTGACCTTGCGACCAATGGCGCCATCGAGAGTTCCAGATAAGTTATCGTCAGAAGAAACATTCATTTATTTTATAAACTCACTATAAATTTAAATTTTGGCTAGTTTATGTTCTGATGTTTAGCAGTAGTTATTTTTTCATTGCCCCTTTTTTACAGCTTTAGGTCTTTATTTATTATTAAAATACTCTAGTTTGATTCTCTGTTCCGCATAAGATCTACATTACGGGACGCGCTTTCCTCTTAATCTTTTCATAGTACCTGTGTCTGTACGCAAAAAATTTTCTTCTAGCGTGTGTTGTTGATAGTTCGCTGCTCCTGAAAGTTATCAAGTTATATTTAAATTATTTATAATATATTTAAAAACAAAGATATTACGATGTAAAATTTCTGATATTGTATTTTATTACGTAGGCAGTGAAGGCTCTTTCAGAATTAGTATTTGTATTCTGAAGGAAGATTTAGATTTTAGAATATTCGAGGTACATGATGGAAGCTTTAAGATGTGCAATGCATATCTTAACTATAATGGAATTTTTCACCTATTTAGCTTTAAAATATATCCCACCGATCAAAACATTTTTAGTGCATCCTGGTATTTAACTTTGAGGTATCAAGTACGTACCTTATGTGCTTGTACTGAAATGTTTAACAAAATATTGGCATCAAAGAAATATACCTAGTGAACTATCTACACATAAAGGTAATGTTCAAGTCTGCTGTATGAATCGGATACGAACATAGTTTTCAGTTGACATCAATCATTTTAATGAAGTCGCTGATCTAAAATGATTATCAACTATATATTCTATGACTATATTCTTGAAAAAAATACTGCGCGTCCATACGCATTAAATAAGGAAATAGGGATCAAGTTAAAGGTGAAACTGACGTGTGACCATTTATTAATGATAATAGAACGAAACGACACAAAACGCACGATGAACACCGAAGTCCGGTGTTACCCTTATGCGAGATGCAGATTGGGTTTTAGATCAATATTTTTGGATTCTCATTTATACTCAAATCAATTACATGAACCATATGCAGCTCATAAAAAGCTATCAGCTCTAGCTAATAAGGGCAGAAGTTAGAAAATTAAATTTTTTTTACTTTATCTCACGCAGTTTGATGAAGCAATTCCAGGAGTTTCTGGGGTTCACTAACGATTCCTGGTCAGGAATACTTCAGGGTATTTGTCTTAAATAAGATGTGTTCAGCACGGTCAAATATTCGAAGTAAGCTAATATATAAAAAAGAAAATTAGTATAAATTCCATGAAAGATACATTTTATTAAAGCATTCTCGATAAAGGTATATAAAAGCTTGTTCGATGAAGGTATGAAGTGAATAGCATTATGCATGTTACGAGTTACCAGCAGTTATAAAAAGAACAAATATTCGGTGAAATGTGCTGTTAATTATAATCCGATGGCATTCGGTAATAAAATACACGAGCCACAAGTTCAGCGTCGTGTATATTCTGGATCACGCTGAGCGCTTAGAAGGCAGACGCTTAAGTTTAGATCTATCATAGCTGTTGCTCATTCAAGGAGGCGCGCGTGAAGCTTGTGAAGGCTTTGCACGTCCAAGATGACGGGCGTGGCGGTCTTACCTCCTTCGCCTATGCGCACTTCGCCAACCTGTACACAAATAATAATTTCCACATTATTTCATTAATGGAATGTTTACCCACCTGCTCACTGATAACATTGGAGACATCTTGAAAATGCTCCAAATGCTGTCGGCCTGCTTGCGGTTGGAGCGCGGCCCGGATACGGGCCCAAATCGACAGCAAATCTCTCCCCGTCCCCCGAAAGGGGGACCCGAAGCCCATGTTTTTTGGTGCTGCCGGCCTGCGGCTCCCCACGTGTGAAGACCTGCACGCAGGAACCTTGCCCAACTTCGCACAAATAAATCACCGCTACTTCTCTCATATCTAAATAAAATAGACCCTGCCACACACCCTTCTCCACTTTGCCCACTCTGTCTGTCCAACACGCACGACACCATTCATCTTTTCTCCTGCCCTGAAATGCCCACATCCCTGTCGGTGGGTGACCTCTGGTCGGACCCTGTAAACGCTGCAGGGCTGCTGGCCCGCTGGGGCGACCGACTTGGCTGGCCCCAGAACTGGGTCTAGGCCCCGCCTCGCGCCATGAAGCGAGGCGGGGAGGGTCAACAACAACAACAACAACATCTTGAAAATTAAAACAGACATGTACATACTTAGACGATAGAGTAGAGCAATTAATGTGCTAATTTGTATAGTCCTGCACTATGTGTGCTATTTAATTCAAGGATTAACGACCTGATAATGAAAGGTAAGATACCAGCACAGCTTGTCGACGTAGACTAGAACATCAAGAGACGTGAGAGACATCGGAAGTAATATCAATATATCGTTTTATAGTTACCGGTTCTTATAGAACTTGCTCAAGTTAGAAAAGTCGCCTAAAAATCTAATGAAGAATAAACAACCTTGGCCAGCGAGTCCTTCCCAAGGATGAGCTTCGTGAGATGTGTTGAGGGGAACGGAGCTAACGCCGTGTTGATAGTGCCAGCAGGATGCTGAGCCGCCAGTGCACGCACAACTTCGGTCTATAAATAAGCAAGAACCATGGATGATGATCACTTCTCTAACACCTTTAATAAATAAACACCACAAGTGGACAACTACTAGGGCATCTAACACTTCTTCGGTTTTGTTACGACAATAGGAAACTGAGATGTAATTCAATTCATTGAGAATTGTTATTAAATTCCACTATGAGCGAATTGCAAATGTAACAGTATTAATCAACTAAAAGATTAAGCAGTAGAAGAGAAATTAAACAAAGGTATCTGATAACAATGTGAAAAATCGTTGTATGGTAATCACAACAATTACCCTCTAGGATGAACAAAAATTTTCAAGTCACACGCGTCGGAGAGGGGGATGTGACTTCTAATTAGGTTCCGTTTCTAAGCCTCAAGAATTGCTGACATACTTCACGATTTCGCAAGTATCTTTAAAAATGTAGTCACACTAGCACGAAATATTGCGCGCGCCTAGCGGAAATAACTGACCTTGATGGCAGCGACAGAGGCGCAGTGGTTGACGAGGACGTTGCGTTGGTGCTGCAGGTGCTGCTCGGGTTTGAGGGAGATCGTCGCAGGGACTTGACCGGCGCGACGTTTCTTGAGGTCAACAACACGAGCGCCAATGATCGTCTGCTGCAACTCCTGGCAGAGTGTTAACAAATCTTAGTGAATTCGGACGTTGAATTGAATTACTTACACTGATACTTGCAGTATCTTGAAAGGAACGAAATTGTTGAAAACCATCTAATAACATGAGGCACACGAAAGTCACGATCAGTCACAGGACACGAAATCGTTGGTTAGTTAAAAAATATCACAGTAACTCGCATGTTAGCTTCATTGTCTGAGTTTTGACTGATCTATATTGATCGAGTTTTGAAAACCGTACTATCAAAACTCGTTTATGTACAGGCAGCGTCCCAAGTACATGTAGCGGCTGATTTCTCGTCTGTGATTAGCGAGTTTAGCTTCAAAAGCTGTCAGTGATGGGCTGACAGAGTTGCAAACTTGAACTATTTCTGATAGTAAGTAATTGGTAGGCGGTTAAAAATGTAGATGATTACGAGCGTAAATAGACGAGCACAATGACAGATCTCCTCACTGGTCAAAATTTAGGTAAAGAAATAATACAGCTTGACTGAACCATGACATACTTTCTTGAGCTGTGATGTTTGATGCACGAGTGAGTTGAGCGAATCGTTCCGCTCTTTTGAAGAAATTGCCGCACTTTCTTCTTTCGTAAGATCCATCTTCTCTAGTCCAGCAAGGGGTGACACCTACGAAAGAAAACAAACATAGATCCTACAAATACATAAGATTTTAAAATGTTTTCTGTACCAGCACATTCAGTTTCCATAATCATTACGTTATGTTAATTCAATTCGTTTACATGCTGCTGAGAAAAAGGATATGAAAATCCACGAAATGGCAGATGGCGAACGGCTATTATATTAAAATTAAAGAAACATTATGGTTACTGTGTGAGCGATACAACTGGAATCTAATTCGTAGTACCCGGTGTGTTCTTGTGGTCAGGAAGCTTTATCCATTTTAATTTTTGAAATAGTTTCATTATTGGATGAAAAGTTTACATGATTCCCATTAGGCAATTAATTGAGCGTCAAAAGAATTGAACAATTTAAACCCAATACAAATTTGTAATTTGTAAGCAGCAATCACGTTTCAACACACAACACTACCCAGTGTCGGTCTGCAGACAATGGACATTACCAGACAATGTAGATGGACACCGGAAGAACGGAACCGACGATCAAGACAAATCGATTATGTTGATTATATTCCTAGTGAATGGAAAGACAAATTTGCGACCAGCAGAAGCCAATTTGAATACATATTTATCAGCCTGACCGATTAATTGGGGATTGTTGACTCGTACGTAAAAATACACGAGAGCGACAATTATATAAATAGTGACATGCCTCCTCTAGTGATCACCCCAGCCCGTCTGCCATCGGAGCCTACTGCCCCAGCGGGCGTAGATGTCATCGCCAAGAACAAAAACAAATAAATTTTACCGATAGGGGAGGCAAATTCGCGATCTGCTGTCGCATTTTCGAGGTGCGGGCGACAGTGCTGGCGGTCGTGATGGAGCGCAGGGCAATCTGCAAGTCCTTGATTTGTTGGAGCAAAGCTGGTGAATCCTGCACCACTCCTGAGCCCTGTATCCCTGATACCGAACTGCTCGAGACGTTCAGGCCAGCAGGGCCTGGCAGGGAGTAACACATACACATAATTATAGTTTATGAACTGCCTAAGCGTTAATTGAGTACATGACTGAACACCGTTAGTTCGTTACATAAAAAAAGCGATTGTTCCACATCCTACCAACCACATCTGTGAATTTTGAAGAAAAATAACTGACCACCAAGTGCAGCAGTTGCAGATTTTTCATCCATGGACTCGTACAAGGAGCGTTTCTTGATAGCCATGAGTTTGTCTCGAAGTTCTCCTTTCTCCAGCTCCAAGCTGTCAATGTCGCTTTGTAGATGATCCATTGTTTCATCGTACTCCTGCACAGAACAAATTCAACATTCAAAATTAAGAGGAGCAATTCTTTATTATAATATCCTTCACCGCCGAGTATAGATCAAATATGTCGCATATTTCACGTAAATAAACAATACGGTGAAGGCATGAAATCAAGCAAGACAGTCCATTGTATCATTACTATCACAGTATTCTTTTTATTCAAACAAACTTTATGTTTATAAAGAAAACCCTAGTAACAAACTGAAAAATAAATTTAAAGCAGAAAGTAAATTCGAGGAAAAAATTAAGTTAAAAATGTGGTTGAAGGTGAAGCAAACTCCGAGATGAATTACCTTCTCTTTTCTTCGCAACTTCTGTTCAGTGTCTTCAAGCTTGCGTTGCAGTCTTTCGATATTTGCTTCCCAGTCTTTACTAGCATTGGTGTATTTCTTCTCGGCAAGGTCACGTCTGACCATCATTTCGCTCAGCTCCTCATTCTTTTGCTTCATCAACAAACGCAAATCTCGAAGATCTTGTTCTTTTGACTCAAGTTTGTTCTTTATGTGCTCAGAATCCTTCAGCTCAGCCTTGATATTTTGTGCGCGTTGAACGATGGGTGGCATTTCCTGCATTTATTTTAAAAAAATAGTCATTCAACAAAATTCGATAACAGTTTGAGAAATTTTGGAACCTGAAAAATTATCATCAAGATAAAACAAGCACCAAGAGCAGGGATGAAAATAATTTTGGATATATAAAGATAAAGTGATAACTTACATTTGTTTCCTGAGGAGTGCCATCATAGTCATACTCGCCCTTCTCCAGACAAGAGGCCATGAGCGTGAAGTGGTCAGAAGCAGAAATGAGTGAGGCCTTGACACTCTCAGGACCCTGGTCGTCACTGCCAAACGCTAAGTCTGTGGCCTCATGCAGAAGTTCTTTTATTTTATCACTTGATACGCCTTCATTTTCTGTAAAGAACAAATGTAACGATTAAAGATCGGCTATCACGGCAGTGCAATCAAGTAGTAACTTGTAACTTCAACTACCTTATCCAACAAATGCACAAAGAATTATTTCATCAGTTTTAACCTGTTCGTCGTGGAGAAATCCCAAACACTCACCACCAGTGATGGATAATTGCTGCATGCAAGCTCTGGCGACCTGTCTGAGAGCAGCAGCAGCGCGGCTCATGGAAGGCACGGCAGCCCTGAGCGCCGCTTGCTCCTCGCCGCTGTAGCTGATAGGACCAGCGGAGCCATCCTGTGGCAGACGTCTCTTGATGCGCTTCGCCGCACCCACGATCTCGTTGCCTTTTTCGATGACGATGCCACACAATATGGCCACTTCACTGCCCTCTTCCGGTGACTGCAATCACAGCAATGAAAGGTAATCAAATGACATCTTTGCAAATCAGACCATGTCTAATGAGCTTATGGAAAAAATACAGTTTTGAAACAACAGTTTGATTTTGTTGGTTGTTTGAAACATATGACAGGAATAATTTTTATATGGTAATTATATCCAAGTTATTGATAATTGGGCATGAAGCGAAAAAGTGTGTGAAAGAATATTTAAATTTCCACCAGAATATTGAACAGTGTAATTCATCAAAGTTTTAAACAAGGCAGAGTTACATAAAGATAAAAAATGTGGGAAACCAAGCGAGATTTCAAGTAATGTCCTTAGTGGACATAAGTTCATTTTGAGAGGATTTGTCACGGATAAATGCACAAAATACTAGCAAATAGCTGTAACGTCCTGCGCTCGAGCAACAAGCAACAATGAGACGAGACTCACAGCCATAAGAGCCAGAATCCTCTTGGCATCAGTGATGGCAGAGATCGAAGCTGCACTGACGGCACGCGTGAGGTGCAGCAGCAGGCTCGGCTGGTCTAGCTTAGCGCTTTGCAGGTGCGTGTTCTCCAGCGTCACAACACACGAAACCACCTTCTCCAGCAACTCCAGGCCGACATTTTCATCCAACTGGAAGAATAGCATTACAATGTTGACGCTGCTTGGACTGCAAACTAAAGGCTACGGCTATTTAATTGTGGAGGCATTTCCATTGCACCTAATCATATGGCACCTAAAATCTTTGATGCATGATGCATTACTTGGAAGATTCAGACACGCAAATGAGGGGTTAAATGAGAAATTTAAACGAAATTGTTCGGGACATAAGGATGGCAATCATATAAATTACATTTTCATAACAAATTTCTGATTATTTGAGCACCTGATCTTTACGCAAAAGTTCGAGATATTGGTCGATGGCTCTCTCGTGAGCAGCAAGTTCAGGGTAGAGGCCTCCCAGGGCCAGAAACTGCTCGACAGAACCTCTGCTCACGGCATGCTGCAGCTGATGCACGCAACTCTGTGGTTAAAATGTAGAGGTAACAAACATACATTTCACTGTGGTAGCTAATTTAAACAAGGTCCATGAAGCAGCATATTCAGTTCCCTTGATATAATTGATAACAATAGCAGAACAGATGAAGATAATTAATTCATCACTTCTGCATAACTGTACTTGATTCACTAGAAACTAGGTATTTCATTAAACCGCTATATTTTTATCTCGTTACATTAGGGATTGAAGACACTAAAGCGCCTCCCATTAAAGATAAATATAGTGTACCTGAATCGTGTGGAGAAGTTGCTGGAGCCTGCAGGCAAAGGCGTACTGATCAACAGTGTGAGTTTTCGTCAAAGCCGCGCGGTCTATCGTCTCAGGTTCGGTGAACTTCTGTACTCCATTCAACACAACATCGGCCTTCCAAATGACGCGCGGCAGCAACAGCAGTAGATTAACAGCATCTTGATCACCTGTCAATAATATTTAATTAGCTTATTATTCAAAGAAAGATAAAATAATTGTTGAAGTTCAAACGAAATAATGGCTAAGACTATTTTACTACAAATAATGGAACCGTTAAATGTTTGAGCTACTATAACAAAGCAAAATATCGAGTTTCATAAGTTGGAATTTTACACATCCCAAGGAATAAATTACATATTCCAAGCTACTTGTGTAATAATTAAGAAGAACTATCCCTATAATTCTAAAGTACAAATGCTAATCAATATAGTTCTCATGAACAGACGTGTGTTTATATCTTGTTTTATTACAACACTTCTCTTTAATTTCACTTCTTGTCTGTTTGTCAGCTACAAATCTTATAATCGATATTTAACACACTTCTACCTGTCCAATCGATCTGAAATTTGGCACACTTGTGTGAAGTCGGAGGCAATGCATGAATTAATTGATAGAATAAAAAATTTGGAATTTTTTTTTATATTTTATATAAAAATTGAAAAAATTAATTTTTTTATTCGAAAATAAAATGAGAAATTTATTGTACATCTGTAACATTGGAGACACTGGATTCTTTAGAAGTGTTGTCTTTAAAAAGTAATTTTTAAACGTATATTATTATAACAAGGAGAGCTGCTCACCACCGCGCGTCATGAAGTTGTCAGGCAGGTACTGCTTCAGATAAGTGACGTGATCTCGGGCCTGCTGCAGCTCCAGCTCCCGCAGCTCGAGGTCGATAGCGGCGCTGTGAGCTTTCGTTTCCGTGAATAGTTTCTGTGAAATAATAACCATTGTAATTGCATTGAACAGGGGGTAAAAAAAAGTGGCCTTCCAGGCGGTACGCTAACACATCCGGGGTCATGAATGATTCTTACGAATATATTTTTCAATTTCACACAATTGTTTACTACCTAACACAACAAAGTCTGGCAACGATTTGCAACCGTTGCAACACGCAATACACCTGGTCCCAGCGGGCCATCGGTATATTCAAACATTAAACTTATAGGGAGGGCTAATTATTCAATGACTATTTCAGAAAAAGCTATTTAGTATCGGCCAATATGTGGCATTTGTGATACGCAATGGATACCTGGTGGTATACAAAGATTGTAGGAAACCCTCGACTGGCATAAAACCTATCAGAAAAAACAAGTTTTTTTTTCTAGCTACACAAGGTTGGAACGAATAGGCTTTATAGAGGAAACAAATCATAAGCTCAAGGAGGAAATCATAAGCTAAAAGACACGGTGTAGTTTTCTGCACTCACTACATTTACCCAAGAAGAGTAAACACACAAGTAACACCATATAGCTTTAAAAGCCAGCCGCTATCAGAAAACAATTTTTTTCAGTCTAGAAACTAGCGCAGAAAAACTCACCTTGAAATCAATGACCTCAGAGGGGGTCCCGACAGGACGGTTGGTTGCCTTGGTGAGTTCGTTCCTAAGGTTGGCGTTTTGATCTGTGAGTGTCTGCACTAACTCCCTGAACTTGGTGATGGTGCCGTCGCGGTCAACCACAACCGCACCTAGCGCGTCACGCTCACGTTCAACCTGGAGGCACGAGGTCAGGCTCAGAATGCAAGATATTCTTCACAAACTGCTAAGAAATAACAGAACACAATCCAGAAAAAATATAACTCAGTACTTACTGCAGTGAATTACAGAGAGCGCATTTTCTCGTGGACGAAAACTTGAGGTCACGGACAGACGGACGGACGGACAGACAGACGGACATGGCGAGCACAATAGTGCATTTTTTCCATAAATGAGAAAATGCGCTAAAATGTGTACACTAAAACTAAAAATCAGCAATAGCTCATAATCCTTGACGACGTTTGAAAGTTTGTACCAAGCTGAGCATCCCAAATGCACATTTCAACAAAATAATTAATTTGGCTTGCTATTTACGTGTTTTGTTCTCATGCAAAACTTCATAAATAGTCGTCGGAATTAATTGAAATTTAATCACCTCTCTGAGCTTGGCGAGGTTGAGGTCCAGGTCTTCTCTGAGTTCTAATTCCTGCTCCTTGGAACTCTCCACCAGCAGGTCATTTGTGTAGTTGATGTCCTCCAAGTCTCGCACCTGTTGCATTTCAGAGTTGTTAGAAATACGCCAGCTTGGAATTTTTATATACACCTGGAAATTCTGAATAAAATTATGGTAAGACAGTTATGAACAACCATACCTAAAAACTGCACGAAAATTCTACTGAAAAAAAAAACGGGTAGCGACTATCAAATGCTAAAATGGCAAACACCACCCACCTGTTCTCCAAGCTCCATGACTTGTTCTTCAAGCTCCAGGTTTCGTTCGGTAAGTGTTTCGACCATTTCTTCAGCTCCCAGAGCCGCGTCCACCTGCTCCTGCAGGTCAGCCACCTGAGCGCGGCACTGCGCCAGCTCGCCTTCCAGCACCTCCTTGGCGCGCGTCGCGGCGCCCAACTCCGTCTTGCGGGCCTCCATTTCCTTGCTCAGCTTCTGCATCTCGTGCTTCTCGTGAGCTGCCAAGTCACGCATCCTGAGCAAATAAGTTATTAATTAGTACAATTGTACACCCGCTTGAATAGATGTAAGGAATAGTCTAATTTGTTCAGCACAGGTCGGCTGTGCATAAACAAATCTATTTTTCACAGGAGAGACGTCATATATAATAATTACGTATGAATATTTGTCTTACTTGACAAGAGTGTCGTGTAGGCGTTGGTTTTGTTGCTCGAGCTGTTTCACCTGCAGCAGCGTCGCCCCGCCTACAGCTTCTGTGTTTCCTCCGCTTCCCAATCCAATTTTGGTCCCGCTGGCCTCCTTCAGGATTTCGAGGTCCACGCTTGAAAAATAAGAACTATAAGTCCAGAGACTTTTATGCGCGATTAGATTCTTCAGTTAGGCTGTCATCCCATAGACAAAAAGTACATTTTCAAACACGCATAAAACTCATTATATTATTACGCATACTCTGGTTTTTGATCCTGATTCTACCCGGGTTTGACCTGTGGACTGGTGAGCGGTCAACTCACGTGAGTTCCTCAATCTGTTCGCGCGCCTGTTCGAGCTCAAGTTGCAAGGTCTCTGCTCGCTCCTCTGCCATCTCCTTGTCGAGCGTCAGCATCTCGACGGTGTCGGCGAGATCCTGCGTGTCCTCGACCGTCTGGTTGCGACTCTCGGCAGCGACACGAGCCTCGTTGCGAGCTGACACAAGCTCCTTCTGCAGCTGCGCCTGAATACAGCAATGTACCAGTGCTCTTTAGGTGCGTATTTATGTCCAAACTTCTGCGAGAGCTCAAATTTTAAATAAAAAATTTACTTTCACCCATAGTTTCACAAGCGAGAAAGAATATCTTACTTTATCCGATGTTATCTCAGTTCTTCTTTATTTGGTCTCAAGAAATATTTCAATTTTGTTCGAGAATTTGTAGTCATTTAACCAACAAACAGGACACGATTTTAAGAGCAATGCAGAGGCAAACATGGCGCTAGAAAAAAACTTTTATTCGTTCGAGTAACTCTAAATTGATTCAATAAATAAAGGATTCATCGCGTACGCAAGTTCGATGCTTAATTCGATGCTCCACGCAACCTGACACTATGAGCTCACAAGCAGTAGTAGCATGCAATACAGCATCGTTTTTAAGTAACTTTCCTACTGGAAAGTTACTACTCATACTTGTCCTACTATGAGGATCCCAGGGGTGGTTACTTATAAAGGCCTCATTTTAATTCCGGGGGCTGGCACATAAAACAATCACAAATTAAAATTGATAAATAATACACTGCAAGAACGAAGAACAGTACAATAGAAAAAAACACAGTTATGCAGAAGAAAAACCAGAAACAATTGAACAATATGTATAAATTACATGATAAGAGTAGTTGCATTATAAATAATTATCGAGTCCCAATGCTACCCCAGCCCACCAAATTCTCCATGAGACGAGTCTTGTTCTCGGTGAGCTGCTCGACCTGCAGGCGCAACTTCTCGCCTTCCTTGAGCTTTTCTTTGTCTTGTGAGCGCTTGACTGCAAACATACAAGAATTTACACTAAAAAGTTTACACTAAATAAAATGCAGCTCTAGTTTCATCAGAGTAAATTAATTCTTGGTCATAACAGCAAAGCTAATCATAAACTATTTCTTTCACCATCCTAACCTAGCAATTATAATCTCTATAAAACTAACACACAATTACTGTATAAAAACATATGAAATTATTGGGGTTTCTCATGCTGAGGAGAATGACGTTCAGTCTAAATACAGGAACCGAAATCCAAACAACATATGCTTCTAACATATAACTGCAAAAGAAATAACCAATTTATTCAACATGAGACATATATACTAGTAGTAGTCTTACTATGTTCCACTCACTCCTGACAGTTTCGAGCTTCTCATTGAGATCCTTAAAGAAATAATCAATTTATTCAACATCAGACATATTTACTAGTAGTAGTCTGACTATGTTCCACTCACTCCTGAGAGTTTCGAGCTTCTCATTGAGATCCTTGACTTCAGCGCGCAGGTTTTCCATCTCCTGCAGGTTGACGCGTTCCTCTTGACGAACGGCGGCGGCGTTCTGAACATTCGCGCCCGCTGCCGCTGCGGCTGCTGCAGCAGGGCTGCGATTCTCAACGAAGCCCATCTGAACAAATGTAGTAATTTAGGTCAGCATAATAGTAATAATTTAAAATGTTGATATTTATTACCTATTTGCGTTTAAGATCAATTGAAGGACTAAATTCAAAAATCGTAAGCGCACGAAATTTGTTTACAAAAAATTAATTATTACCTATGAGATAAGTCTCATCTTCAATCAATATGAATTAATTAAACAACAACATTAAAAAGAGTATCTCTTAACCCGACCGTATCAGGTTATAAATGTCATACACGCATTTATCATGAACAGCTCGCACAATAATAACAAACCCTATGTTCAAGTCAAGGTAATTTATCAGGGTCAAGTTATGGAGGCAAAGATTATTAAGGAAACTATGATATCTTTGAGAGCGTTCAAACCTTCAAATCATGATCAACAAACAAAGAAATTAGCAAGCGCAGCAGCAGCAATGCAAACTAGAAGCCAAAAATGAAAACAACATATAAAATACATACCAAAAATCATACATATTTTTACATAGCGCAACTGAAAATAGATCCGTAATAAATCATTAACTTTGAGATGAAAAATCGACTGAGATTCTCACGAGACGATTAAATGGGCCTGACCTCATGCTGTAGGGATCAAATAGAAACACATAAACTACAGGATATAAAATCTGGACCTGAAACAAGGCGGTAATATCAGTTACTTACTATATAAAACTAACGAACGACTTAAAATGTTGTGCATGCATTTTGATATAATTTTGGCATGGCACTTGAACTAAGGCAGAGTCATGATTTCCACGTTAATTTAGAACTTCCAAGACGGTACTAAAACATTTACTATACAATTTCAAATTTAGTGAGGACCGTTTGCATGAGGATTTATATATTTATGTAAATAATAATAAAGGTTTTGTCAAACATACAATGTTCATACATTAAATAGACCAGTATATTTTAAACTAAATATAACATGAAGACGCATAAGTGGACCAAATCGTACATATTAAACGATGCACGAGATAAAACTAACTATTAGTAATGATCCGCTTTAAAGTCAAACTCAAGCGCGGTTATTTATATATGTTTAAAAGTTACACTCTTGACTGTACTTACTTTTACAGTAAGTTGAATCAACACTCAAATTCGCAAAAAAAGATGCAAAAATATGGAGGGTTGCGAGGAAGATATGCGTTTCAATGCATGCCAATTACGTTGCATTGTAAAATATGAGGCATGCCCAAGCACACAACAAACCAGACACGATGTGAAGCTCGGGAACAACGAATTTACATATAATGTAGCATCAGATTATGTTTATTGTTGAAACTTGATATCATTTGCCGCAGAATGGTAATATTGTACTAGGATAAATGTTTATCTGTATCTTTCGTTAGAACTATTGAACCGTGACTTCACATCGCGGATTAACACAACAAATCGAACAACAAGACAACGATCATGGGATCAAACTAGAGCTTTTTAAATCATGACTTCTCAAATAATTAATGTTCAATATCTTTTACCAGCTGTTTTATCATAGCAAAGTCTGAAGGGATATTGAAAAAGTTCATAAAGTTCGCAAGTGTTAAGAATAGCTCAAGTTTGTCGCTAAGAAAACCAGAGAGTTTAACGCACAGGAGAATCGAGACCGCCGTGGAGAAGTGCCATGGTCTCCTCAGGGGTCATCTGGAAAGAGGCGACACTTTTTCGTTTGATTTTATTTTCTCTAATAGTGAAGTTAACATGCTAATTTATTATTAAATGCTGCTCACATGAACGCGAGTGCAAGTTGTAAGTTTAGATGGAGCAAGAATACTTCCTGCATCTCGAACGTGAATGCCAGTTGCTATGTTGTGAATGCAGGTTAAAATGGTTACGAATTTTTCCAACAAAGTGGAGTTGTTAATAAAGAAGAAATTTTGAAATCATATTACATGATTAGTAGTATCTCTAAGTACCGCCAACTTGCTGGTTAAATTATTGATATCTTTAGTAGACTGCCCAACCACCTTATTACAGATTTACCTTATTATCTTTACAGATTATTAACCATATTACCTCGACAAAAGAGGCAGACATTCTCTTGATGTCGGCAGTTTTGGGACTTGACTCCTTGCTGCCCGGGGTGGTGGTGCTAGAGACGATGCCTTTGGCCAAGTCAACGTCAGACTGGCGCCAGCCACTGCCTGAAGAAGGCGTGCGTCGCAGGGAAGTGGGTAGTCCGCTGCCACCCCCAGCTATTGGTAGTCTGGGGAGGTTGTGAGGCAAGAATTAGTGCGTGAATTGGGTTGTTAGTTAATTGGGTTGTGAGGCAAGTGATATTGGGTTGTGAGGCAAGAATTAATGTGTGATATTGGGTTGTGAGGCAAGAATTAATGTGTGATATTGGGTTGTGAGGCAAGAATTAATGTGTGATATTGGGTTGTTAACTGATTGGGTTGTGAGGCACGAATTAATGCGTAAATTGGGTTGTGAGGCACGAATTAATGCGTAAATTGGGTTGTGAGGCACGAATTAATGCGTAAATTGGGTTGTGAGGCACGAATTAATGCGTGATATTGGGTTGTTAACTGATTGGGTTGTGATGCAAGAATTGATGATGAATTGGGTTAATTTATTAATTAGGTTGTGGAGGAAGAATGGTTAGAAATATGTAGAAGATTTAAGTGAAGATATGGCGACAGAGAAATTATTCTTTCCAACAATCGAGATGGCTTGTGTATAGAAGCAACAAAAGTTTTTTTTATTTTCAGGGTAACAAAATCAGAAGGCAAGGTGAGAAAGAAGGATATAGATAAAAAGGTTGAAATTTGTATTAAATAAACTAAATAATAGATGGGCATGGCAAGTAAGAAATGTTAATATTCGAAACAGGATGAACACAAGAGGAAATTATAACTTTTCACAGCACCATCTTCCAACACCTATTCTTGATCAATATTTGTTGAGTGACTTTTTCCGAGTCTGAACACTTTGATATTCACAAAGAATCAAAAAAATAATCTCAAGAGTTTACATGCACACTACTCAAGTAAGGAAAAGATCTTACTATTTTTAGAGCATTTTCTGGTTTAGTGAAAAAAGGCGCTATTGTGCTCGTCATGTCCGTCCGTCCGTCTGTCTGTTCGTGACATCGCGGACGGACGGACGAGAAAATGCGCTCTCTGTCACTCACTGCAGTGAGTACTGAGTTATATTTTTTGGCAATGCAATGGTTTTTACACAGATCTTAATGTGATGTATCAATTTTTAGTGCAAATACAAAATCCACAAGAATGCTCAAGAAAATTGAATCCACAAGAATGCTCAACAATGAATAGAGTAATTACTGAAGAAGCTTCATGCAGGAGCTTCAAATAACACAAAAAATATGCGGGATTAAATGTGATGCCAGTGCATGCATTTTTAGTATAGACTATGAAAATAACAGCGTTCAGTTTAGGTATTTCATTCATTTTTCCAAACAAATTCACTCAGAAAAATAATCACATTCTCAAAAAAAGAGGCTGCTATGTAATCAAAATTATAGGAAGAGAAATTTATCAAACTATTGTTTATTACTACGTAAATTACAGTTTTTGTCAATGAACATGAACTTCTCATTCTGATAAGCTATACAAGTCATACACAAACATCTGAATTTCTTCATAAAGTTCCCTTAAAGATCTAAAGTAGAACCTGAATTTTTTGTACATACATGCATAATGATTAATAATGAAAAGTGCAACCTGTGCCATTTTTAGCCTACAGATGGCATAGAAGGAGAATGCAGTTATATTGAAGGTTAGAAATAATATACTGCAGTTAAGTTTAACATTGAAGGAGAACTGGCTCATTTCCACTTGCAGTTATATTTTCTATTTAACGTAGAACCTTTAATATTTCAGTCAGCAGGTACTGGGTTATGCATCTTTTGGGAGTGACGGTTGTAGCATAAAGTTGCCCCTGCATTTTCGCTTCTACTGAAGAATAAAACTTTTCCATCTCTAACAACGTGGAAGATACCGCTAAACTTGATAAAAAATATAACTCTGTACTCACTGCAGTGAGTGACAGAGAGCGCATTTTCTCGTCGACGAAAACTTGAGGTCAAGGACAGACGGAGGGACAGACAGACGGACGGACGGACATGGCGAGCACAATAGTGCATTTTTCCATAAATGAGAAAATGCGCTAAAAAACACTAATTCATCATCAACAGCAGGCAGAGAGCCTCTAATAGCCAGCAGTTAGCTCACTAAAATTGAGTGAAAGTTAGTGTTAGAATCTCAGAGACTAGCAATGATGAGTGAGCAGCAACACCAAGGACGACGCTCGTGCAAGAAGTTGCTTGCATGGGACACCAGCCAGTCTGATAAGCAACAGGGCAGGGACATGCAAGGAACCTTGCCTACAGAAATTTTGCGGGAAAACTTAGACATGAAGCTGTACTATGAGCTCAGTTTGGGGGGGGGGCACTCAGACAGATTGAGAGTATGTAGTGCAGTTCGATCAAAGGACCAAAGTAGAATGTTGAGCTTTCTCACTACCAACAGTTAAACTAAAAGAGATGTAACTATAACCTGTAATTAAAGAAACATTTAAATATGCAAGGAACAGTTGGAAACACAATGGATTGGTTGACTCAGATGAAACGTGTGTAGAAAAGAAGACACAAATGTACATGAATTAGAACAAAATGTTCAGCATAAGCAAGTAAAAAGTCAAAGATATTGACGGTTCCCTGCAAACTACAAAATAGAATATAAATCTTTTCATGCATGGTCACCAAATAAAAATAGTTTACATGCAACAGAATTTTATCCAAAGACAAAAAGAAGTGTAAATACACTGGAGTATTCACGAAGCTCTAGAATATCCATGGATTGCAGTGAGTAAGAGTTGACATAAAAAGCAAAGGTACAGACAGGATCATCAGTGCAATCGATGATCAACTTCTTTACCTGAGGCGATCAGGTTTCTGAGGCACAGGATGGCCCTGCGGTTTCCTCCTTAAACTGAGAGCATTCAAGTGGGAATACAATTATTATTATTAGTTTAAATTTAAACCATGCACGGGGTCAGTAATGGAATTGCAATGTAGTTTTGGTAATACATGCAGAATTTCTATGCGATGGAATCCCTGCTTGCTACCTGCCTTCATTTTCTCCAAGTCTATGCAGCAAAATTTTTTCCAGTTTATTATATGATATTGAAGGGAATTTGATGCCAATTGTATTAAGAGTTATAATATTCCCTAAAGTTGCTAAAGAAATTGTCAGAAATTTTCAATGTAATATAGACGAAAAAAATTGTAGCCGAGTCTTCCCAATGACAGCAAGCCTGACCAAGAAAAAGTCTCTTGCCTTGAATATTTTGGCCATTACATGGCATGAATAACTTATATTAAACCAACACAGAAGCCACTAAGCAGCATCTTACCTGGTAGGTTCAATCCGTCGCTTGCCAGCACTGGACAAAGTACAAAATAAGTTGTTAATGAACAGTACAGCAGGATGGGGATGACTGCATACGCATAGCTTCAGGTTATCGAGGGTTGAGCAAGGGTCTAAGAAAGCGGCAAAACTATTATTAATTACAAAATCAACAAAGCAATTAGCCTTTCACATTTTTTACCATAAAAATCATTTTAATAGCAAATAAAATCATTAGTATGTAAATAAATCAAAATAACAATTTCAATCAACCCGCGATTTTCTATCTTACTTGTTAAATACAATATTACTTACTTTATAATTAGAACAATGATCAAATTATTTCTTGCCCATATTGTGTTATAATGCAAATAAGCTAAATCTCATTAAACAGAGGCCTCTTCAGGAAAAAAACATGCAAAAAATTAGAATTGAAGCAAGGTCTGACACTACAGAAGTAAATTACAAGCCATGTTCAAATTAAGTAACCATGTGGCACTATAAAATTTTAATATGAGACTAGGCCCTGGAAAAATACTTTACCTCGAGCGGGGTGTTGGCATAGTTTTTTGGAGGCTTCTGTTGGCATCCTCTCCAGAACCATCCGCCATCTCGAGCTGAGTTTGTCGCACAAACAGCCCATACTTGTCTTCACACTGTACAAGTATCATATAATTAAACTTAATTAAATAGTAGTGTAATGGTGCCTTGATTCACTGCACTTTAGTGTAGTGAACCAAGTTGCAAAATAGTTGTCACAAAAATGAGAAATTTTATTGTCTATATTTCTTATTTTGATTGTCAAGGATGCTAGCCATGCAGGGCTTGAATGTGCTGGAAATGTTAGGTTGAGTAGAAGGAATTTTTTTTTACATTCTTCATCAATTGTTTAGTGAGAATTTTACTAGGCCTGACCATTCTTTATTTGAATCAGTATATGTCTTCTAGTGCACAATTGAATATTGAAAAAAGAGTGGCTGAAGTGTCAGAGTGACCATTTTATGCCCAATCAACAAGCATATGGTATATATACAATAATAAAAAAAGAAGCCTAACTAGAATATAATTTACTAAATATATATTAATATATATATTTAATAAAATGCAGATACAGTATATACATGGATATGCCAGTAAAATCTGGTACTTGTATAGGTACATTTTCATTGGAGGTTGCTGAGTGCTGACACTTTTAGCTATGGTGGATTAAAGTGAATAAATAATAATTTATCACACTGAGGAGTGGTAGGTCTAAAATGGTCTGCACACTGCAGATGGTAAGAGACAAGCAGCATTAGCATCTCAGTGAGATTAAAAATAGAAAAAGATGATGAACAGATTAACAAACATAAAATCATGAGACATGAATAAGTGATAGCTTACTTAAGATGTTATGATATAAATTTCTGTTTATGACATAAATTGCAATCCAAATAAGTAAATTTGTTGCAGATCCATATGATTGACTACAAAAAAATAATGAAATATGTAACAAGTTTTAAGAATCCCTTTATGTATATCTAATTGCTAAGAAAATCAAAATTAAAAACATTTAATTAGTCACTTCATTATGGAATAACACATAATTCAAATCGTGCTACTCAAAATTAATTGATGTGCATTCATAAAATAAAAAAATATAGTATCAAAAATGTTTGTGTTCTCTAGTTTTAAAAATAATGCTTACCTTGAAATATGTATGTCCCTCAACAGTGCCATTGTTTCTGCCACCGGGTTGATCAAGAACCACACCCACCCACTTGCCTGCTGCAAATTGCGTTGTTCCCACAAATGCAACTGTACCATATTGATCTGAAAATGAAACCATAACAATAATTAAGAAAAAGAAACATTTTAATTGAAAAAAGTAATTGTGGTACATTTTATTACTGAGTAACTAAAAATTCATTTATAGTATTTACAGTTTAAATTTATCAAAGAAAAAAGAATGCAATGGGCTTGGGGTAGACTATATGGAAATGGACCAGTGGATCAATGGTAGCCTCTATGCAAGTAGCACCTCTGATGCAAATGGCAAGCAGCTGAACTGGTTGCCAAAAAAAGCTTTTTCTTTCTGACCTTTGTATTTGAGCAGTTGAGTCAAATGGCTATTCGATTTTCATGTTCAAAGTAAGATAAAAATTGTTAAGCAAATTAAAATACAAACGAAATAAAGTGGCTGTTAAACAAGGCTCAATTCTACCTTTTTGCTTGCTGAGTTCATTAATATGAAAATACAGAGAAAATTCTACAGCTTATGAATGCTTTCTATATATCTACACTGTTACTTTTGCAATGGCATCTATAATAACATTTGCTACACTTCTTCCACCTTTATTGCCAAGTAATATAAACAGGGTTTGGACAAAATAAAGGAAACCCCTGACATTTTGACATCATAATTTTTTGAACTTGTTATAAACAATGAAAACGTGACATATTTTAATGTTTTATTGTTTATTGTTGCTGCTAACTGGTATTTTATCCTTACACAGATATTTTTAGTAATTTTTTTTGTCTATAACCTAACATATAACCCACAAATGACAAAACCATCTGACTGTCAAAGAGGCCAAATTGTTGGTGCCCATATGGCAGGTGCTGGTGTGACAGAAACTTCCTGAATGCTCGACGTTTCTATAGGTACCATCAAATGGGGTAAAAAGGGACGGTTTTGAGAGCTTTTTGTTAATAACTTCTTACCATGAAACATTTCAGAAACAAGTTTAGGCTCATTTTATAGCTCAGTGTGAGGGCTATCGAATGGCATCTTCAAAAAAATTCCATATGCTATTCGAAAGGTGCCAGACACAAAATAAAAGCATCCCAAATTACCCCTGGGAACGGGGTAATCCAGGACACTTGCAATAAAAGTTAAATTCAAAACATTTGAAACATGCAGAGTGTACTCATCTATTACTAACAGGACTCTGCTGTCCTCCTCTTTCATTATAGATGATGTAGATGTAAAATAAATGACATTTTCTGTGATTTTTACTTGTTTTTCCTTTTTTGATATGATATTACCATATTCATTAATTACCATATTGTTAATGTGATATTACTGTATCCATGTACATGCCATTGAGCATTGACAACAACCTTGTCCACTGCAAGCTTCATATCAGCAGACAAGTAGCATTTCTTCTGTATCTGTAAGCTCACAAGATGGTTTGTAATTTTGCACAAATTTAATCGAGTCAAGTGATTTCACTATAACAAAAAAGATCATGAAAAACATACCTGAAACTGAAAATAATGTTTCCAAAACCATCATATGTTTTGGAGAAATAGGTCAATTACTTTTCATTCTATGATGCCCAGTGCACAATTCTATATACGGTATAGCATTCTATGTACAATTTTGCAATTTTGTGACGACTGATGATGCACTAATTTTTCAACAAGTGAATTTTTTTTGTTAATCATTTTTTAGTAAATTTTTGTTCTGTTTGTTGTGAATTATTTTTTTTTGTTAACTGGAGCCTTTGCTAACTGAGGTTCTACTGTAAATGCATTTTTAAGGGTGTCCCTAAGTCCCTTTTTACCCCATCAAGCGGAAATGGCTGCCATTTTCTTTTGGAATGAGATAGGCAAATTCCGTCAATTACGTTTTCAAGCCGACACCTGGGTGCAACTAAATGTAAGTAAAATTTTTTAATACAGCGAATATTTTTTTTTTGCTCCAGACCTTAGCAGAAGTACTTTTCCTAAATCGCACTTTTCACACTTTTTTTCAGCAATTTTTTAGAGATAGTATATGTTTGATTTCTTGACTAGTTTTATACATTATAGATAGGTAGTAAAAATGTTAAAGTTTACACCACTATTTTTAGTTTTGCAATATCTGGATTAGTTCAACTGCTACAACATTTCTACGAAATGTGGGACGCGCATCCCGATTTACCCCGCCCATCACTTTTTACCCTGTTTACCTGTACTGTCTCAAAAGTAATGAGTGCTTTTGAAAGAAAAGGAAAAATGTCCTCAGCAAAGCACAGGTCTGGCCAAAAGTCAAAGTTGTCTGAGAGAAAATGTTGGTGGTACTTAAATAAAATTGTGAGGGACAATTGAAAGAACACGGCTGTTAAATTACTGCAGACCTCAGGCTCAGTGGGCCCTTACAGAACCCAGTTTCCATAAAGACTGCCTGCCAAAAACTGCACAGATTTAGATTATTTGGAAGAGCCACAATTAGAAAACCTTTGGTTTTAAATGCAAATGCTTCAGCCTTCAGAGCCTTTGGAGTGGTGTATAAAGAGTGATGTATAAATAAAAGAATCACACAACACATGTCTTAAACTGCTCGTAAAAGAGTCTCATTATGTCAAGGATTTTTTGTTTCTTAAATTATATTAGTCGTTTCTATAAGGTAGCCTTTTTAAGTTATTCTGTTAGAGCTTATATTTCATTGCAGGTAAACCGTTTTTGTTTACTGGTTAGTCAAAACTTCTTAACAAGCGTTTCCTGAACTTTGTATGTTTGACTCCTTTCTTTCTTTATCATAGAATATCATTCCATAAAATATTCAAGTCCGCGGTTTAATACCATGCTCTCATCATACTCGTATATATTAAACTGTGACAGCAGCAAGAACGTTATGTCAAAGATGAAGATCTTGAACTCGCCTCTCAGACTCTTCTAAACTGTGTTTTATTTTTTGCAACAATGTATGGTAGGCATTAGCATGAGCTAAACTGCATGAGAATTAGGAAATGTTTTAACTGCTATTTCTAGTGCAAAATTTGAGCTTAATTGTCATCTGCGCAAATGCCATTGCTGCCAAGAGTTTGTGGTTCAAGAATGGCTTTTTACAGCTTGGGAAATAGGCTTACTGCTCAAAAATTTGTTAGTTCGTGGCTCAAAAAATCCAGTTGTGGCTCACAGAGTAGCTGAGTAGGTAGATGTTATCCTTCCCTGTGGATCAGATCATCAGGATGCAGTGAAGCTTGTCTGGAAATCATTTGCAATGCATGTAAGTGTTGCAGTACATGGAGTGTAACAGATATACTATCAAAGTTGCTGGCAGCACTTTCTTCTTAAAATTCACCTGGCAACAATTGTGGAAAACATCTACCTTTAGGGCCCAACTAGAGCTTTCCTGCCATTTCCAGAACCACAAGATTTCTGCCAGATCCACTGTGCAGAGAGTGAACGAAGATTTAAAGACTTACGGCGACGCATTATCGGCAAAATTTTCGCCTTCAGAAGATCTTGCCGACACATTTAGATTGAAATTCTTGCATTTAATATATTTCTCAGTCTTCAGCCAACTATTTAGAAAAAAAGTAAGGTTTCCGCCACTTTCCGGTACGTTGGATGGATTACGATGCAGCGAAGCTTGTCCGGAAATCAGTTGCGATGAGTTCCCGCAAAAAATGTAAACAACATTTTTTCGATTGCGTAGTTTCGGTCGCATTAGAGC